ACTACTACTACTACTACTACTACCGGTACACTGACACTGTCGTTGACAAAAATAAGCTGGATAAATGATCGTTTCTTAGGGAGACAGTGTAGGAATCGCCTTTTTACGGTTTCACTATCAGATACTTTTCGAGGAAACTTGTCTGATTATTCAGTTTTTTCAAGAAGCACTGTGCCATTCGTTTAATTCATTTACCAATTGGAACAAATCATTCTTGCTCACTGGGCTCGACAACGCACTACGTTTAGTTTTTTTGATCGATAAAGTACTGTGGAAATCGATGTGATATCCAATCCAAGTTTGTTTTCAACAAGCGCTTCTTTCGATTGTTCCATCCTCCTTTTTGTGTGTGAATTACTCTTGTCAGCATGTGAAACATTTTCACATAAAATCCCCTGTGGCCCCAGTCTCACTCTCTACATGATGATCTATGCGAATCGCGCGTTCATTCATCCACGCGTTCTACATATCACTTATTACCGTCTCGCATCGACCTCTAGATTTCATCTACAGTTACCCACCCCGCTATAATCCTCGCAAACCGCGTTTCTTCTGAATTTCTCAGCAACCTTGGTGGTTAAATTATTCACTTGTATTATTTACTTTTTTCGTGGAGATGAAGTTCAATTTTTGACCGAATTGTGGACATCTGTCCGCACAAAAATCCATGCAAATACAATTACATCGAAGAAACTTAATTTTTTCCGATCGCCTGTGTAAATTCAAATTCAAATTCAAATTTTTATTATGGGATATAACTTACAAAGACTTCGTTTTTTCAAATCCCATAGGGTGTTTACACTTTGGTTCGGAACACGATTCACAATGTCACACATAGTACATTCATGAAATTACAGTAGTAAGGTATCGACTCAAGTGTGTCTGGTTGAACGTTATTAAGAGTTATAAAACACTTGTTGTTGATAAGATGTTCAAGAGGAAGCTCGACAGCGTCCTGCGAACAATGTGGTATGCAGATCTATCATGAATGAGATCTTCGAGTCTGTGGTGATGAGGCTCATACGGGAAATTACCCTCTGCCTCTAATTGAAGAACATTGAACATTGAACATTGATGCATTACCAATGGTAAAAGTAGCGTTTATCAGAATCTGTAGAACGGTAAATTTTGGGCGTAAAATAATAAGTCTTAATGGTTATGTGGTGAACTCCAATTGAACTGCGGTTAATTCCGAACAGGTAACCAGGTTGCGTGCGAGTTGGTAAGTCTGTTTTTGTCTTATTCTTCTGAGCTAGTGATCAAATGCGACAGGCCCGGTTAGTAACCAGAGTCCAATAGCGTTTGAATTCACTCCAACCAGAGCTTGATCACACTTGATTCGCCTTCTACGGTCTTGCATACTGTATACCTTGGACAACAACATAACAACTGCCACGTTCACTTTTTCGCCGNCAGGGTTGCTCCAATGAGTCCCCGTTTATTAGCATTACGTTCGATGCTCCGCAATGGCAGGTGACAAAATCAGACGCCTATTTCTTGCTCGGTACCTCACCGGAATTCGAATTGGCCGCATACACAACCGTATTTCTGTTTCGTGTTCCCGGAAAGCTAACTGCTGCCAAATGTCCAATCTTTCTGATATGTAATCGAGACTACTATCGGGACTGGCGTCCGGCCACGTGCTACCCGAAAGACAAATTTCTCTGAGCGTGCCGGACGAACGAGCATCAAATAAACACGAATGATTTCTTCTCATTCATTCACTATTCTTTTTCGTTGTTGATTTTCGGCCGTATTCATCACTTGAGAATAGGCAATTCTTCAGACATCATCTTCACGCTCAATGCTTAGTACATCTGGTTCAGTCAATCTCGGGAAGTATCAGACTCTCAGTGAGCCTATCAAATAGGCACATCCACCGTTCAGCCTGAGCTTTAAATTTCGGACTCATCGTGTGCTACCACTGTGTCAAAAATTGAAACAAACATGGATTACCAATTCTGGTGTAAGATGGTTAACACAGTGGTAGAACACCGCCTTTCATGCGATAGTTGTGTCGTTCTGTTATAGTTCCACAAGGCGGTGCTGGTCGAGGGGGATATCCCTTTATTTAGGATTACAGTTCAGAGGTCAGTAATTTTGCATGCACATCACAAAAATCTAATCAGAAACGTGCAATCGCAATTCTTTCTGACACACAGGGTAATGCACAGAACAGTCAGTAGTTATTCTTCCAAACATCACTTGACCCTTGATGGTCTTATTATATTTTTGATCATGGAAAGTTACCTACTACTCACAAGTGAGTAAGTAGTATCTCACGACAGTTCAGCTCTCTGACTGGACAATAGATGTGCCTTGCTGGGGAAAAATCTGAGTCCAGTGCTTCCCAAACGTAAGGTTGACTGTAAGAACTGAACACTGTGTGTGTGTGTATGAATTTGAGGTATGAAGGATGCTCAATCCAAATCAATATAATTTATCCCAAACTATCAGACCTTAGTAACTACGAGGCGGTAAATGGGAACTATTTAGTTCGGAACTACTTTGGTAATATTGCACGACCACTGTGTAAGCTCTGTCAAACTCAGTTGCAGTTTTCGTACGGGGCACGGAAAAGACCGATTTGAACCCCAGGTAACTCGGGATGATGTGGAAATCCTGTCAGATTCCGATGCGTGGTTTGAAAAGGGAAACATCAACTGATTGGTGGACGAACTCCAGTCTGGATTTCAAATTATCTTGAGTGGCGATACTGATAAAACACACCGTTGATTTTACAGTTTGCATCAAGGCGACCTCAAAAATTCAAACCGTAAGTCTGTCCATTGATTGCGTAAAACTCTGAGTTCCATACATGTTTCTCCTTGTGCAGCGTTCAAACCAGTAACTCATGTTTTGAAATGGCAGGCGATTACCAGAAGACATTGTGAGAATTGCTCTGCATCCCACTAATTCGTTGCTGATTGTTCATTTTAGGGAACTGAACTAACCACTTGGCTCTTGACAAGGTGTATGTACTACAGCTCAAACTATGCTTCTCCTGTGTTTAAACACACATTTCTGGTACACTCCCGGTTACTCAGAAGCAAACAGTTCACGAAGCTCCTGGCTATCTGTTCTGGTTGATAAACTATCTCACAGAAGCTTAAATTAATATTGCTTTTCTCACATACTAATAGTACAATGAAAATCTAGTCAGTGAACTGAAAAATCAATTTATTTTTGCCATTTGAATTCGGGTTGGCGAAGTTTGCACGAAATAGAGCTGACCAACACAAATGTCGAGTATTAAAACCCACAAGTAAATGTGACGTAAGTGTGAGTTTGATTGAAGATTCTCATAGGATTGTGGCAAGATTTTCCTAATCTGCGTGGAACTTCTGATTTGGCGAGAGGCTTCCCGAGTGGAGTTAAAAGATAGTTGGGTCCGATTCACTGACTGATAATCAGTGGTGACATTTAAAAAAAAACATAGTGTGGCAATTCCGGTCTGTCCGAGTGTGAGCTGGTTGAGCATCGATGCTTTCCAAGCTCAAAACCCGGACCAGAAGGTAGATATGTACCAACGGATGAGCCCTAAAGAGAGAAAAATCTCAAGTTTTGTGCTTCCGGAGTGTATGAGTGACTGGATGAATTGACGAGTGTACATGAAGACGAAGTCTGGAAGATGGTCAGTTCACATCAGTTTTATGAGAAACGGTATTTTTAATCTGTTTCCTGCACACTTGTTTCACCATCGATGTTCGAACAACGCCTTATATACGTCACATGCTAAGAGTATGAGATTAGAAGCGAATAACCAATGAGAAGGTCAGGTGCGTAGTGCAATGATAACTGAACGCATGTCAATAGATAAATTTTTACGAAATCAAATAACACTGCTCTCAAGTTAATTACCATAGCATGGTATTTTCATGAGAATTTGAACACATTTGTCTTCAGAGAACAGCCATTAAAAAGGACAGGGGGCAGCTTCGGTATACTTTGGTTGAAGCCCGCAATTATCCTAGTGGAACTTTGTGTTTGTTTCTCTAAAGTTCCTTACCTTGGTTTATCTGTTCCAATATAGGTGTCCGTGAATGTGATTTCAACACGATGAGCTGTGCGTATAACGAATACAATTATGACGTGTTTTATAATTTATTAGAAAATAGAAAAAATAATGGTGACACTCCAAGACCTGGCCTACAACCAACCAGCATGAGGTCCATTGTTGTGTCGATTGGGATTGGTGGCAATTTCTGGTAGACTGCTTCCCCGTCCTCCGGTTCAATACCACCCGTAACCCAGGGGGCCCTAGTGTGGTTCACCACTCCCAGTCCCGCGGGGCTTAGATTACCGGTTTCCATCACTTAACAGCAGGTCTTCATGACTAGGACGTTCACCCTGTGTGCTGTTAATCACATCAAACTTACAAAATAGGGCATAGTTACTTNCTTTCCGCTCGTGATAGATAACCTGGTGAAGGTTTTGCTTGTTTTTGATGCTCATCACCAGTGGTGACCAACACACACACACACACACACACACACACATGCATACACCTGATTGAATGAAAAGTGATTGACTGTCTTTTGACCCATGTACACAAATTAAAAAAACAGTGACTCGTTTCCCTGGGTAACCGTTCTAATCATTATCAAGGTTTCACCCCTCTAGTTCGTTGTATATGGAAAGTCAGCAAAAAACCTGTTACAAATGAGAGATTGAAAATGAAAAAAACGGGAATTTTGCTAAAAATGCGAATGATCGGATTGATGAATCCAATCGTTAGTAGTTTATTCGCTTTCATACAAACAAGCGCCAATTTGAAATAATTTGTGCACTATTTTCAAATAATAAACAGCTTAGTAGAGCACAAAGCTGAACAAAACAGACTCCTAGTGTTCCCTAATCATAATCATTCCACACAATGTATGGGACTGGTTACAAATTCAAGTTGATGCAATGAAGATCAAAATAAATTCGAAAATTAAATTGGAATTCGGATTTTATTAACGACTCGTCGTCACCTCAGCCAACAGGTCACGTGTTCAAATCCAACGACCGTTTTTCGAAGTGCTTGTTGTTCTGTTGAAAAGCCCCCCAGACGCGAATTACGTTTAACCGCAATCATTCATGCGAAAATGAATTAATATTCATTAGTAGTAATATACTAGTCAGACAGTGTCGAGACCATTGTTCGGTATGTTGAATACAAGAATGTACATCTAATAGTGAATCGTTCCATCAACTATCCTGTGTGCAACCTTGTTTCAAATGAGATATTTTGTGGTATGAATCACAATCTATTTATATCTCGAACGTTATTGGTGATAAAGAACAATCCTCGAGCAGCATCGTCTTTTGGAAATATAAGAAAAGAAACAACCGCGAGGAAATAGCCCAGGGACCTCGGGAACTGGATCACTAAAATGGACGGTTCAAATAACGGATTCACAAATACAGTATAGTATCCCCAAAATTATAGCTAGTACGGAGTGATATTCAATACTTTCGCGTTATCTCCCTCTCGCACACCGTATCTTTCAAGGTCAAATAATGAAGGCGAACATTTCGTTTTCGTTTTCCGTAGACTCAGTCGACAGTTTGTTAAGTTCATTGTAATCTAATCTAAATGATTTTATAAATAGAAAACCCATCCACAAATAAATGGCTCGCATGAATTGTCATGATGGGTTTACCATTTATTTTTTATGCTCGGCACACTGGATGACGGGTTTTGTACTACATTCCCCGGTGGATGAGGGACAGTAAAAGGAAGGGGATAAACCGTTTACTTATATAATATATATATATATAATACATATGAACAATTTTCTTACAGAAAATCGTCAGTCTCATTGTCGCAGAAAACTAGCTCATAACAATGACAGATCGCTGGAGTAGAGATTCGAGTAGCCTGAACCCAACTACGATGTACATACAGATGCATACGCACCCAGTTTCCCTTCGATCCGTGTCCCCACGCGAGTACACATCTCTGCGTTGATTGCAACGCAGATCACAGTGAGATGTTCTGGAGACAGTCTGTATATGGACTGATTTGACTGACTATCCTTCGGAATTCACCTTCACGCACGATCCTCAGTTTCTCGATTCAACCATACACTTGGAAACACTAGACTCGTGTTTCGCTCTTATTACAGCTCATCAGAAGTGCATATTCACCGTCTCGTCCGGGGTTCGAACTCCGAACCCATCGCATGGAAGGCGTGTGTTACCACTGTGCCAACCATCTCATACAATGGCTGAACCAAATTGCCAATTCATGTTTATTCAGGTGATAGTCAATCAGTTCGTTTTGGCCCGACAGTAACGAAGCGAGACACAGATGACAACCTGTTAAGTCCAATTGAAAGCCACCCACCAAGTCAGGACTTCCATGCAGGTTACGCGCTTATTTGTCACATACCTATCAGGCTTGAATGACCTTCGCATGAAAGTGAAGTCCGAAGAATTGTCTATGAAATAAATCAAAATCCAGCAACAGTCTATATGGTTGACGTGAGTGACCGTCAATCCGAACTGCATCAGAGCTTGGTTTCTCTTTAAAAAGAAATCCAAGCGAATGATCGGTAATTTTAAACTACTGCTTGTCAGCATCACTGAGAATGAGAATTCGACTTGGGCCGTCCACGAATCTGACTATTTGTTGGACGAGAATTCCCGATCAAAAGCTGAACAATAGAAAACTTTATGCA